GAGAGAGAGAGAGAGAGAGAGAGAGAGAGAGAGAGAGAGAGAGAGAGAGAGAGAGAGAGAGAGCGCTTCTGGAAAGATAGGAGAGACAGTGAGAATGTTTCACAATTGGAAATTGGAAGCAAAACAACACTGCAAGTGATCTCTTGCACCACAGTGTTAGTTTAGATGTAAAAATGAACATGTATACAAAAACATGACAACAATAGTCAAAAATGCATTACCTCAGTTTATACAAAAACATGAGCATTAATTAAAATGAAATTTTTAATCAAAATTTGAAAAGTGATTTTCTCATCATAGCAGTCTCATCCTACCCTGTCCTATATTTTCTGCAATATATCCTGTTCCATTTTTGTTCTTGAACTTTTCACTGACTTTTACAGTGAATAACAATTCCAAGACAAATAAAGGTGTTACTCAATTTCCTTATTTTCCACATTTGTAGACACCCTGATTAGATATGTAAATATTTAATCTGATTTTTGCAAATCAATTCTAAAATTTGTTGATATTCCATCAGCAAAATGACATTTACTAAACTACAATGCCTGAGAACGAAAACAGTTGCACAGTAAAATTTATTATTTTTTTAAGAAAGCCACAGAAGTTGTTAGTTAGAAATGCAAAATAAGTTAGAACAAAAAAACAACAAGCCTTGAACTCCTGACGTTCATTGAAGTGTTACAAAACAATGACAACACTTACATTCTGTGAAGAGTTGCTAGCTTGTGGAGCTACTGGTTTTGAGGATGTTGATTTTGCTACAGTCTTCTCAGTCACAGATGTGGCTTTCTTCCCAGTTACTGATGTGGACTTCTTTACTTCCAAGGTGTACTTTCCAGCACTTGCTTTCCCTGATGTTGACGTTTGTCGAGTTGACTTCAAATAATTAGGAATAGGATTCGCATGAAAAACTCTTTTTTTCTTCTCTTCTTCTAAGATCTAAAAAAAATGCATGCAAGTGAATACTCTAAAATCTTTAAAATTTATTTCCCATAGATACAAATTATTACACACTTTTTTAATATGGTCTTCTTTTTTTCTAACTTGTAATTTTTGACGTTCTTCAAAACTACGTTGCTGTAGGGTTTTAGTTCGTTGGTTGGGAATTGTTCTGGGGACACCAGCATGTCTTATTTCATCATTTTTTATATAGAACTCTCCATTTACCTCCTAAAAGAGAAAGAAATACATGTAATAATAAAGACACATAACAAAATTACATACAACAAAATATAATTTGCACCTAGTTATTACCTCCACTATCTGAAAATGCTTTTTATGCCTTAAGACAGAGGCAGGTTTTGAGAAACCTTGTGAAACCTGAATTTTTAAATTCTCATGTACCAATTTTACCCCAGATTTTTTAACACCTGTAAAGTAAAAAGAAAACAAACATTCTGAGTTATTGTTTCTATTCAATTACCATATCTCTATAGTACATTAAATGGAAAAGAGGAAAGAAAAGACATAAAAAAACAAAAGAAAGAAAAAAAACTTCTTTAATGGTGTAACAAACTGATACTCAAAACTTTCAACCAGTATTCACTCCCGAACGTATTTTAATTGTCAATATGGACACATTTGGAGATATTTAAGATATGACGTAAATTGAAAAGATCTGTAAACAAATAAATACTTTGGTAGTGAAACTTACATAACAATTCGAACTGAGGATTACATGAATCTCTCCTCCCCTTGATTCCTAAGACAGAGCAGGTAACATTTCGAAAGTGCCAGACTGAAAGAATATTTCGTACTTAAAATGCTTTCTCATTTAACCCTTGAGATGCAAAATTGTACCAAGTCCACAAAAGCGAGTACTGATACATTGAAAGGGCAACAGTAACTGATATCGCGACAGATAATTAGTAGGTATATTTTTATTTTACTTAGCAGAAAAGCATATATTTAGTTTCACCCCCTCACTTTCTCTGAAGTTGCACATCTCACTTCTTGCCCCAATATAAAGTAAATTTTCACAATTGAATACACATCTTCATATTACACATTCCACGTATCTTGTTATAATTATTTCAACTAGCTCAGTAATTGAAAATCTATTTATTAATTAATATACTGAAGCCAATAAACCGAAGGTTGTTAAGTACTGTACTAATGAAAATATGCCACCCAACCAAGATTTTATCAGATTAAAGACTTCAAGGAGATTGTTTTACTGTATATTGAAGTTATTAGTGATTTTACGACAGCACTGACCTTACTTGTAATTGTTATGTAAATTATAATTCTACATTACACAGCAAGTGTTTCCAACCTGCAACACGTTTGCCCATGCTGGGATTTAAACTAACTTATTTAGCTTTAGTAAGCTATGAGTATATTCACTGTACCAAATTGCTCAGGAAACATTCCAGCAAAAATGAGAGCAACAAGTTGTTTAACTACATAATAGAGAACTGCAAAATGCTATATAACTGCATAATGCACCATTGGAAGTGTTGCGTTGGCATTATTTGCATCTCTAGTCCTTTGTTTCCATTTGATATCCAGGATTTTGTATACAAATTTGAGAAGTTAAATTCAATAATCCTCTTTCCTCTAAATATGTTCACTTTAAATTGAATTTATGCATTATTTTATGTGGAGAGACTCAGGCCATGAGGCCTGCTCTTCCTTCTGACCACGCAAATTTCGCTACACTCCTTTCACCAACTACCAGGGAAAGGAGGTTTTTCTGGGGTGAAAAACAGACGATTTGAATTAAGCTGAGAGGCGTCATTTAGGCTTGAGGATCTTTTACATGCAAGTAAATCTACTAACATGGGACAGCCGGCTTTACTTCCCCACCAAAGGAAGGCATACGAAGGATTTTTTCGCCCTTAAAAATTCACGGTTTCAATCGGGTTTGAAACCGCCAACTTCAGTACAACAGTCCAATACGCTAACCGTTACACCATCGCAGTGCACAAAATTCACTTTAACTATACATACTTTTCATAGAATGATTGCTTGCAGACAAAATCTTCATATCTCTTGAATGGCTTTGTGCACTCTGAAAATAATTTTTAAAAATGAATTTGAAAAGAGAAAAACAGAAATGGATAATAATTTAAAATAATAATAATAATAATAATAATAATAATAATAATAACAATAATAAATAAAAACACATCTTACCCCAATGTTTTGAATATTTGAACAAACTTCCTGAAGTATAGGTCGATCTGAAAATTAAATCAAAATTTGAATGTTTCACATGTCCATTAGTTAATACATTTCATTGAATCAAACACAACAACAAATCAACTATTTCAAACAAGCACTCCCCTCCCTCACTGAAGCATCATATTGAATTGGTCACCACTGTCAATATGAATGGCCATTTTGCATTGAACTGATTGATTTTCACATAAGATTCGAGTCAAGTAAATATTTCCTCTTTGACGCAGTCATCTGGCGCTCTACAGTCAGTGGGCAGATACCCGTAGAAAGCAATGGGGCCTGGGCCAGAAGCCCCATTTAAAACAAAAAAAATTATGTAATAGGTAAACTAAATTAAACTCTCCATGCAAACCAAATAATTCGCATTTAATTTGAATTAGAAGTAAATACATTTTGTATATGATTTGAATGAAAAAATAATAATTTTTTTTAGGGATCCCTATTAAAATAGGGCTTAGGGCAGGTTGCCTAAGCTGCATTCCCACCCTCTAGGTGCCCGTCAGTTATCAGGCACACTCATAAATAAATCCCTATTACATAATGTTACATTTGTGTTACTGATCTGATGTGTATGAGCAGTAGAGAGTTAATTTCCGCCTCCCCTAAGACATTATCTAATGAACTGACATTCATATATTTTTTAAACATTCAATATCTTTTTAAATGTTTATTATGATGCCCATAATTAAAATTTTTATTTGTACATAAAGTTGGATTAAAGTGAACTACTTTCATAACGCCAGAAGCAATAGTGCAATGAAGTTTTCCTTACCGTTTTTTTCTATACCATCTTTTTCTTTAGACGTAGAACGTTCTTTAATAGACAGCTTCTCAAGTTCCGTATTTACATCTTAAACACAAAAAGACACCAAGATTAACACCTTTAATTGTACAGAGAAAAGGTAGACTTTGTCTACTCACTGAAGAAAAATACAAGGACAATATTAATACAATGTACCGAGTGGCAGGAAAGTCTCACCATGGTGGCACCTTGCTGGTGAGAATGCTAGTAACAAAAATTATGTTGTATGTGTGTGTGTATCTATCTATCTATCTATCTGTCTATCTATCTGTCTATCTGTCTATCTATCTTTCTATCTGTCTATCTATCTTTCTATCTGTCTATCTATCTATCTGT